GCAGGGAGCCCGATGCAGGACTCGATCCGTGGACTCCAGGATCATGACCCGAGCCGAAGGCAGTCGCTTAACCAACTGAGCCACCCAGGCGCCCTTATTTATTTTATTTTTTATTTTTAAAAAGATATTTATTTATTTATTTGAGAGAGAGAGCGTGCACAGGTGTGGGTGGGGGAGGGGCAGAACATCGGATTTTACATCAATAGTTGACACTCAGTCCTTCATTCCAGAACAGAGGATGGCCACCTTCCACGTAGTTAGCCCTGTGCTACGTGCTAAGGCTGTAAGAACTTAGATCTGAAAAAACTAGGATCCCACCTAGAAATTTACCACAGTGCCTAAGATTGACCTTGTTCAGGAAAAGTTTATGGTACTAACATCAATTTTCTTTTTCAGGCTTTAAGAAAACATTGAAATACCGCTTCTCAGCCTTTTGGCTAAGATCAAGTGTAGTATCTGTTCTTATCAGTTTAAGAAAACATTGAAATATATGGGTAGAGATAAATACCTCCTGATTCCTCTGAGTAGATTTCTTTGAGGTTTTGATATGTCTTCATGTATATATTTCTTAGTCTGATTATCTGCTTTCCATTTGTTTATTTGCAATAGCTATTTTGGAGATTTTCATAGTATTTTAATTAGAAAATGCATTTTATAGGAAGCTTCTCATGAATCTATGTAGGAAACTAGATTTATTCCCAAACAAAATTCTCAGTAGTACATTCACAATTTTCTTCCGGAGTTTTCAGCTTTGCATTCTGTCTGGGAGGCAGATGTACATCCACACACAAGTCCGAGTAGCACAATTTCTTCCATCATTTTGTTCAAGTTTCTCTAAATATATCTGCCAGAATTCACTGAACACTAACCTCTGGGACTTGAAAACAAAGAAGGAAGAAAGAAAGAAAAAGACTCCTTTTTGTTTCCAAAGCTGTATTGAGCTTTTATTTAGTTGAGGTTTGAGACCTAAGTGACACTTCCCTAGTATGTGTATGCAAGTGATTTGAATGAGAACAAAGAAACTGATGTTGGTGGAGGTGCTTTGACACAAATCCCCAGCCTTTCATATTTAAAATGTTACCCAAACCCACAGGAAAGAGATTGGATCCAATGTTATGTGTAAGCATTTTTTTTAGTTTGGTTAGTTTCAGTTCCAGTGGAAGAAGACTGTGTGTGTGTGTGTGTGTGTGTGAGAGAGAGAGAGAGAGAGAGCGAGAGAGAGAGATAGTAAATGCTTAATATTGGTAGTGGAAAAAAATACAAAAGTTGATAATAAAAGCAAGCATCTCAATGTTCTGTCTGAAATCTGGAAGAGAAGGTAAAGTGAAACAGATGGGTCATTAGGCTTTGAGGCTGTGACATTTGGAAGCCAGAGTTACATTTTCCTTGAAACTGTGAATAAACAGCTTGGAAATAGTCTATGATGTTCTTTTCTGATACTGGTTTTATTCCATTTGACTCAGGGCATTGAAAAGCAAGTGTTAGTTAAATTGTCTTGCTGTAATTATTATGCAGGAATGTAGCGCTTTTTAAATATTCTTACTTCCTATATTCGATTTTAGTGTAACTCTGACTTAGGCTTATGTGAGGCCCATTTAAAGGCCAGGAATCTTTCTGAGGTTATTATAAGACTCCCCTCTTGGTTTAAGTTTTATCTCATAGAATAATATTCATGACATGTGTTTACACAACTGCATAGCTTCTTGGACCTAGAAGGAACTATAGCAATATGCATATAAATGAAGAGCAAACAAATGAGAAAAGGCAAAGGCTCTTTATTCAGAGCTCGCTACAGCAAGGCAGTTAGCCACCGTCACTTATAATAGCAGAGATTTGAAGGCAGGGAGAAGAGTGAGAAAGTTCTGTGGGAAATGGGCTAGACTTCAGATATGTCCCAAATGGAGGCTATTGGCATGGGGAGGCTGCAAGCAAGGCCAACCAGGAAGGCGTCCTATGTGATTGGATAGGGATGCAGATTGGACTCTCTCTGGTGGTCCCACTCTGGAAGCAGGGGCAAAATTCGGGAAGCTGTCAGTTATTAATTAAATCCTGGCTGCTTTGAGCCAACTGTTAGATTATTGTTTGGTTACCTGGACTGGTTATTAGAGATAGTAGTCTGACTTCCTCTAAGTCTGACTTAAGGGAAGTAGATTGGATTTCTGGGCTCATTACTGTAGATAATGGGTTGGAGTTCTATTTTTTTTTTTTTTTTAAGATTTTATTTATTTATTTGAGACAGAGAGAATGAGAGACAGAGAGCACGAGAGGGAGGAGGGTCAGAGGGAGAAGCAGACTCCCCGCTGAGCAGGGAGCCCGATGCGAGACTCGATCCCAGGACTCCAGGATCACGACCTGAGCAGAAGGCAGTCGCTTAACCAACTGAGCCACCCAGGCGCCCCTGGAGTTCTATTTTTATATGTGGCCTGGCAATTTTCCATTTGTGTTTCAATCTCTCAGTGATTATCTAGATCCAGATGTAGAAAGATTAAATAAATTCATAAAGGACAAATGGCTACAGTTTATTTAAATTGATAGTATCTTTTACACGTGTGGCACTACTTAGTTTCAAAAATATTTTAAAATCTAGAATATCATTGGATCCTTCCAATTACATTGGAGAGGTTAGACCAGCCCGGTATTATCTCTGCTTTGTAGTTAAGAAACAATGAGGCTCTAAGAGGAGAACCCAAGTGCTCAGTGATGTGGATTACCAGCCCATGCCCATGTCAGGCCTGCCAAGCTGGGCCACTCGGATGAGCTCACCTAGGGCTTCTGACAAGATTACAAACCTTTTCTGTCTCTGCACCACAGATTCAGGTACTGGGGAGCCAAAGTGGGGCATTTGTATTCTCACGCTGCTGCAAGTTGATGAGTATTTGAACCTAAATATAAAGAAAGCAAAGTACAGATTCTCTGAACCATTTCTGTGATTTTTTTTTTTTCACTGCAGTCTTTCCCAATAATTCCTCATTCGAATGAAACTTTCAACTTGGTGAATCTTACAACCTGTGATTGTTAGATAATCAGATTTTTGAAAATACTATTAGCTTCGTGTCACTTGGATACATTTATAACACTTGCTTCATTCTCTTATTCCATTAGGAACACTGTATTTCCTACACACATCAGAAAGATGCCTGAGGAGTTGAGAAAACTACTAAATAAAAAAAATTAATTAAATACCTATTGAGCAGTATGCAAGGTGCTAAAGACATCAATGGGAAAACAAAACAAAACAAAACAAAAACAAAAAACCCCCCAAAACTTAGTCCCTGCTTCCTAGAACTCAGGGCCTTTTGGAAAGAACAGATACATTGAAAGATGATATAAAACATCAATACAGAGATGACCAAATCCCAGCAAGAGGTGGGGATATGAGTGGAGGAGGCTTCGGAGGATACTTAAATTGAGTAACCAGGACTGAGGAGCCTTCCTGGAGCAAAGACGAGATACAAAGATATACGAAGCAGATGACGTAGAAGATGGTAGCACAAGAACAGCCTTGTTTGAGTTGGAAGTGGAGTGGGGAGGAAGAAGGTCCAACCAATTTGAATACAATGTTCAGGTGGGAAGTGATGAAATCTGAGAGGAAGGGAAGAATGACATGGTGGGTAGTCTTGTGGGTCACAGTAAGGAGATTAGACATAATTGTGTGGGTAACAGGAGGCTTCTGGAAGGATTTTAGTCAAAGCTACATTATAAACAGGTTTGCATTTTTTGTTTGTTTTTGTTTTTAAACACTTCTCAATGTGCATTATAGAATGACTATCACATCCATTCCCTGAGACGACACAGTTTTGAACGTCCCAACCGGTTATCACTCATAAACCATCTTTACTACATGTGTTTTTAAACACTTCTGTATATGTGTAACAGAATGGCTATTAAATCAGTTCGCTGAAAAATACACTTGGTTAGATTTGCATTTTAAACATCATTTTGGCAGTATATGGAGCTCATACTTTAGAGAGAGAAGGATAGAGAATAGGAGACAAGCTGCAATAATTCAAGGGCAATGATTAGAGTTAGAACCAAAGTAATTAAGGTAGATGTGATACAAAGTGCAACAGAAGGGAAAGCAAGATATTCACGAATAAAATCTGTAGAATCCACTGACTGATAGATTTAGGGAGTAAAAAGTTAAGGAAAGGGAAATACAAGCATCTAGCTTGGGTTGTTGGCTGGACAGAACAGGAGGAACTATCGGTATAGTAAGAAGTGGTGTCAGTCCAATGTCTGAAATGTTAAATCTGTGTTATCCATGGGGCATCCAGATGGACTCACCCAGCAGGCAATTGGATAAATGAGTCTAAAGCCCAGGATAATGATCCAGGCTCGTGATAAACTATTTAGAAATCACTAACAATCCTGGAAGATATAATCACAGGAAAGTTATGTATAGAATGAGAAGAATTGTGGCTAAGCTAGCATCTTGGGGACAACATGTAAGAGATGCTTAGAGGAAGAGAACATATGAATGGCAAGGAAATGGTGTTAGATGTAGAACACAACCCGGGAAGATGGGCCATTATTGAAGCCAAGAGAATTGAAGATATAAATGAAAGTAATCAAAGAGTTGTCAAATGTCTTAAAAATGTTTTCTAAATTTGCCAACTAGAAGGCACTAGGTGAGCTTAGCAAAAGCAGTTTTAGCAGAGTGGTGGGCTGAATTGATGAATTCAGAGTGGGTGGCAGAATGAATGGAAGATGAGACAGTAAAGACTGTGAGTCTAACAAGCTCTTTAAGAAGTTTCCTTGAAGTTGAGCACAGGTTCCGATGAGAAAACTCTTTCCCAATGATATTAACCTGCACACCTCAGAAAAAAAAGGCCCCGTGTGATCTCTGTCCCTGTTACATTTAAATGTTGTAATCTCCAACACACTCCCAAGTTGACAAAAATATATTGAAAGCATTTGAGAAAATTGTTCTTTAATGTTTTAAAGGAATCTGGGAAGGATTCAAATTTGTTTAACAGAATGTAATTCTGGTTAATACACAGAATCGACAGAGGAACTGAAAATCCGAAGCCACAGCACGGAGCCATTACCAAAGTTGGACAGCAAAGAGAGAGGGCATCACGGGGCGTCTTCCAGAGAGCCTATCAAAGCTCAGGAATGGGATGGAACACCAGGACCGCCTGTGGTCACCAGTAGACTGGGAAGATGTTCTGTGAGCCCCACCTTGTTAGCAGGAAACCACAGCTCAGGTAAGAACGATAATGATCTTTCAGGTGCAATTATCACTTAGAGAAGCATAACCATAGGTAGAGCTCCCTCTACTCATAGAGACAGCATAAGTAGCCCTTCACGCAAAGGGACAAGACAACGTGTTGCACCACTCCAGGGAACATTATCCACATGGGCGGTAGAGAAGTGAATAGTGCTTCTTGGAGCGGTGCAATGAAGCAGCTCTGACAGCTCGAAACATCTTGTACTAAATTTTATCCAAAGCATCTAGAGGCCTCATCGAAACAAGTTTTAATTTATAAAGTTTAAGTGACTTAGAATTTATGCCTCCTGTGCTTCAGAAAAGATTTTAGGCAACTGGGAAAAAATGAAAGTGAGAATATATAGGTAAAAAAACTGTCTGAAGGCAGTAAAGAGAGTAGATATCATGAGGTATGTACAGTAATGATCTGAATGCTGTAGCTGGACCATGGGCATGGTACTAAGTTTCCAGATCTAAGTCAGAAGAGTTAGAACATTTTAATCAAATACACCTTTAGATTTCACAAGTTGAAATTAAGATCTGCAATGCAATTTTGCATTGTTAATAGATAAATATTATGAAACATCAAGTTTTTAAAAGCAGCATATGTTTGCTTTGAAGTGATTAATCTACATGATGGACTCACAGAGAGCTGTCAATTGGAAGAAAAAACAAATAATCAAGTGACCTCCTGTAGTTTTCAGGTTTCTATCCCTTAAGAATGTTAGGGTTCTGAAGGAAAGACCAATCCTTTAATGTTCATTTCAACTCTGATACTCATCTTGGAAAGCAATTTACATGCATTTAGCCTGTGGACTCTCTGGCAGTCATGCACAAGTTAAAATTGGAACAGGATGAATGATCTCTGTATTTGGGAAGGGATGTTTCTAGAATAGGACCCAGGCAGAGACAGAGCAGTAGCTTTTCCAGACTTAAAATGTAACTTATTTCATGATGAAGCCATAAAAATCTTGGAGAAGAGACAAATGAATTTAGCAGAAAGTAAAAATTTATTTTTGTTAGTAAAGTATAAACAGCTATAGGTATATGAGAAGACTTGTGAATTTTGTCAAAAAGAAAAGGAAACATAGGAAACAAATGATATTTTGTAGGAAAAAAACTCCTCTCCCAAAGAAGGTTGACATCACGATTCAGTTGAGACTTAGGATTAATTTTAGGCTTATTAGTAGTATTTTTTAATTATTTAAATTTGTACCAGTTTGATCAAAAAATATAAATAATATGTACTCCTATTGTGACTAGAGATATAAAACCAAAAGCATTACCTGAATATCTTTAGGTAACAGCCACTGTTCTAGTGTCTGAGAGCACAGTGATGATTAAGACATCCTTGCATTCGGGTGCTCAAAGTCAAGTGAAAGACAAACATCACAATACAAGGTGTTATATTCAACTAATATGTGAAACAAAAAATAAATCAATTAATTTTTCCTGGGAGTGTATGATTTTGGCAAGAACAATCAGGGGGTTTTAGTGGGTAAAATAATAACTGCTTTAGGATGTTAACATTTGTGCTAGAGCTTGAAACATCAAGAGCTGTTCCCCAGGAGGATGATGGAGAAGTCTGCCTTCCGGATGAACACCTAAAACGCTATGGGATTGGGGCGCCTGGGTGGCTCAGTCGGTTAAGCGACTGCCTTCGGCTCAGGTCATGATCCTGGAGTCCTGGGATCGAGTCCCGCATCGGGCTCCCTGCTCAGCAGGGAGTCTGCTTCTCCCTCTGACCCTCTTCCCTCTCGTGCTATCTCTCATTCTCTCTCACTCAAATAAATAAATAAAATTAATAAAATAAAATAAAATAAAATAAAGTGCTATGGGATGGGGCATACTGTGTTTGCAGTGGAAGGTGGGGGAAAATTGATTGAAGAAATTGCAAAGTAGGTTGGTACCAGAAAGCAAGAATCCTGAAGGGCCTGTGTATTACCTAGAAATGCTTTCAGCAACAAAATGCCAATTAACAGTGGCTTAAGTAATAATGGCTTCTGTTAACTCCCCTAGCACTCAATCTGGAGGTGGGCATCTTTAGGTATTTTGCAACTGTTCAATGATGTCATTGAGGACACAGGGACTTTCTGTTTTTGTTTTGTTTTGTTTTGTTTTGTTTTGTTAAATTCTGCCCTTCTGCTACCCTTGATGATTTTTTTTCATGATCTTGAGTTGATATTTCTGGGCATCATGCCTCAGCAGAGTCCCTTTCATCTAGTTGGTCTAAACTGGGAAACATGTCCTCTGGACCCATAACTCAGTGAAGGGGAATGGGATTTCCACGAGTTTATAGAGGGCCCTTCTTTCTCTTAAATCAAAGGGCTTCTGCTTCTACTGGGAAATGAAAGCAACAGTCTATATTCTTAGGGAGAAAGGGAAGACAACATTGCATAAGCAATGGACAGTATCTGCCACATCATGATTAGATTTTGAACCCTATGTGGTAGATATTTTGTAGTCCTTTAAATATTGTTAAGATAGGTACAATGCAATTCAGTTTTCATCATGAACAATCTCTGATGCCTCCAAAGCTTCCAGAAGGGGTGACTGGGAGGCCATTTACTAAAATACGAGTTGTCAAGGTGAGCTATGCACCACGGGTTAGGTGGGAAAGTCAGGACTTAATTCTTGACTATGTTAGGTTGGAAGTGCTCTGGGACATCTAATTAAGAAGCTAGTAGACACTTGGAATTACAGGTCTGTAGCTGAAGAGATTTAGCAGTATTACAGACCGAGGCTAGAGACCTCTGGGGTGGTTAGAACCCCAAGACTGGATGATTCTGAACTAGAAGAGCAGGGAACTGAGATGAGAAGGAAAAGGAGATTGCACCCTGGGGAACTCAAACATTTTCAGGTGTGGGCAAACGAAGAAGGATATGTAAAATAAATGAAAATGAAACAATTAGATGGTCCACAATTAAACTTTTACTGAACATTTGGAAAGGTGCATAAAATGGGCAAACTGTAATACGTTTTTGACCCTGACGTGACTCTTCCAAGAAATTTAGAGTGTAAGCAGAATTTATAACATACTTTCACTTTCTTCCACTGCAAAATCCCAGAGCATCTCTTTGGCTTTATGACGTCTAAAATCTGCTTTCCTGGGTCTTTCAGCTGTGTTTATAGGGCAGTAAATTGTCTACTGACCAGAAGAAATGACATAAATATCTTCAGTCTCTCACACTCTCCATCTTAGATGATGAAAGATGTAGCTAAAGATGGAAGAAGAAGAGATTTCTGGTACATTTTTGATAAAGACATTTTTGTATCTCTATTAAAAGTAATGTGAAATGCAGGGGCCAATGTGGAATCCCATATATAATAATGTCAGTTAGGGTTTCTTATGTGCCAGAGAAACTATCAACATGAACACTCAAGGAGTGCCTGGGTGGCTCAGTCCGTTAAGCATCCGACTCTTGATTTCGGCTCAAATCATGATCTTGGGGTTGTGGGATTGAGCCCCACACTGGGCATCACACTGGGCATGGAGCCTGCTTAAGATCCTCTCTGTCCTTTTCCCGCTATACCTTCCCACACCCCCAGTTCACGCTCTCTCTTTTTTTTAAAAAAAAATGAACACTCAAAAGAGCGTTAAAATTAATTAAACTTTTAGAAGTCAGTCCCTCCCAAATATGTCATAGCAATTTTATCTACTGAATCTACCCTTGTACCTCTTTTGAGGGAAAGGAGAAAAGAAAAAAAAAATATCTGTTATATTAGTAGCTTTAATGTTTCTAAAAAGAAAGAACCTAAAATGTGCCAATTCTATACTAGAAAATGCCATAGCTTCACTAGCAAAAATGTATAAAATTAGAATATCTGAAGTTTACTCACCTTTGGTGTTTTCATGAAATGATGCCCTAACTAGAGGGTACTCATCAGTGAGATGGCCTTTGTCCAGAATAGGCAAGTAACTATTGAAGAACGCATTTTGGACTTGCTGCTTTGGAAGGGAAGTCAGTGTTTACTCTTTTCCTTTTCTTCACACCTCCTCTGTATTATTGTCTCCTTGCCACTGGGTCACTGAACTGCTAAGCCCCTACCAGAAACACTGGAACTGCAACCAAGAATCTTCCTCCGTAGTAACAGAGGTACCCAGGTCCACACCTAACACTAGAGAGGAAAGAGGGTTTCACCTGTTCCACCTATCAATAGCCCCGTATCTATCAATACCCCGGTCTGTCAACTTCCTGCCTCTGGTTTTCTCTCTCTCTCTCAATCTCAATCACACACACACACACACACACAAGGAACTGCTACCAGTCACAGACTATTGCTTTATCAAATGTAGTTTAGCTACTTGGAATGGCTGCTCTTAACAGCTCTTTTGAGGAATGGAAGAATTGCTGAAGTAAAGAGAAGGAATGTGTCAGGAGATCTCAATTCTAATTAACATTGCCACTGGTTGCTGTGGAACTCTATTAAAGTCACTGTTGTTTAGTAAATCAGAGATTCCCCAGAGGGTGATTCCTGAAGGCGGTGGCGGTCTGGGACCCAAATGCTCATGAAAATAATGGGAAAAAGTGGAAGTTATACAAGTAAATAGAGTATTCACAAAAATTCAGATTTCAATCACCGAATCAATCAACAAATAGTTTCTAAGCAGCTTGTGTCCAACTCTGTAATGGTTTCTGGGGGATAAACACTCCCACACGGGGTATATAAAGCACAAGCACACATAGGGTATATAAAACAAGGTCTTCGCCACTCAAAGATCTTACTATGCTTCTTTATGACACAAAACTATTGAACATAAATTAATTAGTATAACTAAATGTACTTTCATTGTTATCTACTGTTTACTGTAGATTACTATTCAGAGAAGAGAAAATTAGTGCAGGCTTGAAAAAAGATGGAGAACTTAATGGAGACCTGGAGTCTTAAACCAAGATTATGTCAGATCTTTTTAAAATTAATTTTTTAAAGAATTTATTTCTTTATTTTTGCAAGGGAGTGCAAGCATGAGCATGGGGGAGGGGCAGAGGGAGAAGC